TCCCAATAACATACAAAATCACTTAAGAATTTCTTGGAATTAATACATGATTCTGTACATTATTGCCATTATTCGCAAAAGCATGATTTGGCATCACATAAGGCATATTATATCCACCATCAGCTGGGGGATATAATGGCATAGCATTACCGTACGGCGGTGGTTGGTTGTGAGGTGGCAGCTGAAGTTGAATGTGAGGTGGTAGTTGACCGTGTTTGTATTGTATTTCCATAGCTTCGCGTTCACAGTACTCTTGATAAAGAACATTAAAAGCTATTGAAGAGACGTGATCTTTGGCGTCATTTTTTTGCCAAAATGCCAATTCAGGAGTAAAAACACGGCTTGTCACCGTGCAATCGAATAAGTAATTCCCTCTTCCATCATCTCTCATTTCGTAGACGGGATGACCGAGCCGGTGCATTTGGCAAAATTCCAAAAGCAAGACACAAGGTCTCTTCGGTTCGCCAGACATCTGCTTGTTATACCATTGAACCGACTTTGGTATAAGCTCAAGCGGGTGTGGTGCACGAACTTGTTGCTGCCGAGATGAAGGCATCATTCCGTTATTATTACCATTGTTAGTGTTATTATTATTTCCACCAGGTTTCTTCCCATGCTTTGTTTTCTGCGAGGAGGCAATATGAGCGCGAACCAACTCTGTGCGAATCGGAGTGGTGATATCCGGCATCCTTTGGGAAAGATCTCTCATGGCAATGCTAGCTACCTCTTCCTTCGCGGCCTGCTTTTTAGGTCTCGCAAGTTGATTTTGATAGGTTTGGCCACAGAAATGAACCTGACAATAAAATTGACCAGTCTCAGAATCGTGGGTGAAAGAGTACACGGGTGGTGCGGTCGTTTTTAACTTTTGGTGCATAGTGTTCAAAAAAGAAATGGGATTTATAAAGGGAATGTCAACGTCAGTCGGTGTTAACGCTGGAGACGGAGATTGGTCAACCGTCTCATTTTCGTTTTGATAATTATTTCCAGGGTTAGAACTTATTTCTTCTTGTTCACTAGAATTACCGGGTCTACCATTTTGTTCTTCAT